AAACCCCAAGCCCTAAACCCTAAAGTGATATGAAACCACAGTCTGACAGTGACCCTGGGCCCAAAAAAATGTGCGCAGCCTCCCGAAGTCCGCGTCGAAACACCAAGCCCTAGTAGGGGTTTAGGGTTAATATAGGAGCCTAAATAGATACCAATATGTGAGATCCTCTGCATGTGAGCCTTGCTATATGTGTTCGATGCCTTTTGAAGTTATGCCTGTAGGCAAACAAGCATCGCAGCTTAGGTTGGCAAGTGTAAAGAGCTGTCAACAATAGCACAGTACTGTTCAGTTGCTCCGTGAAAAGTGTCAGCCTCCTCTCGCGGTTCATGGCCTTCCGATAAAATTGGAACGATACTGAGAAGATTATTCGAACCAATCAGGAGCCGCTTTTCAGGCTTGCCCGTTATCTTCAGGTTATGAGCGCCCAATCTACGGATGCGGTGACTCTGGAAGGAGAAGCTTCGGGACCCGACTATGGTCGGCCACGGGATGGGACGCTTGAAGCTCGGGGCAATGGGGGCATGCTTAATGGTACTGGAACTAGAAGGGTGGAACAGCCTGTAGATGGTTCAGTGCCTGTGAGGAGTGCAACCAGGCCTTCTGGTCTTTCAACTGGTTTGGATGCAACGTATGGTGCTGTAGCTACGTCAGACGGAGTCGGAGTTGGCGTGAGAAATACTGGTGGGGTTGCGGGTGCATCTCAACAGCTAGAAGCCGCGCAAGCTCCCCAGCAGTCAACGACAATATCGACCTCTCAGCAGCTAGAAGCCGCACCAGCTCTCCAGCAGTCGACGACCACAGACCCCCAGCATCCTGCAGCCGCACCAGCGTCTCTGCAGCCTGCAGCTACACAAGCCTCTCAGCAGCCTGTAGTTGTACTAGCATCACAGCAGCCGGCAGCAGCCCAAGCGCCTCAGCAGTCTACGACAACATTGCCTGGTCTACAGCCTGTGAGTGGACAAGGGGCCCTAGCTGATGATCGTAACACTACAAGCTCTACTACGCTGGGGGCTACTGCAGAACCATCTGTACCTGGTAGGGATCCTCGCCATCCTCCTCTACGCCTTTCAGCTCCTAGGAGACCTACGGCATTGCAGGAGCTACAACAAGGAGCTGCTCTTCAACGACCAGATGCTGGAGTACCACGAGGTGAGGTTCCGGTAGAACATGAAGGAAATGGTCAACTTAGGACCCCCGGGACGATAACCTCTGCACACAGCTTTGTTTCAGCGCAAAGTCAAGAAACGCAAGAGGGAGCAGTGAGGAGTATTTGGATGAACTTCGGGGAGATGTTCCAGAGACGCGTGGTGGCACCAGTGGTGAATGTTGGTCGGAGTTTATCTACTTCTGGAGGTGGGCAGCACTCAGCAGAAGGACCGCAGAGATCTCTTCTTCCAGCTGATGTTCAACGAGCTATGGAAGTGCACAACACAAGGCCATCGTTGATAAGCCCACAACATCATCGCCGCCAAGAGGAAGACGCCTCCTCCAGCAGCGTGAACCAGGATATGATTTTGGAGGAGGTTCGACGGCAAGTGGCCGTGGCTATGCAAGGCCGAGACCGAGAGGTGGTTTCATTGAAGCAGAAGAACAAGGAGCTCGAGGAAGCATTGATTGAAGCCAACAAAGCGATGAGACAGAGTGTTGGAGCTGGTGAGGCGCAGAGCTCCTCCGCAGTGAGGCCCGAGGAGAATCATGGACTACCTGATGGAGACCCTCGTGGTGTTGTTGGAGGTTTAAGCGGGCGTCTAGGGGATCCAGTTCCTGAGGTGTTGCGTGCTTCAGTACCAGGAGACAATCTTTCAGGAGTTGGTCGAGGTGAACCTCACATGAGCTCAGGACTGAACGAGCCTCCTGGTCTCGGACATGGTGGTCGAGGTGACCCGCGGATTGAGGGTGGACGCGACAAGACATCTACCACAGCAACCTCGGGAACTTCAACGGGTGTTCGAGGAGATGGAAGCGGGGTTGAGCCGCTGCAGCTACTGGTGCAAGGAATGCGACAACTGCAGCAGGTGTATATTGGAAAGGGGGAGTCTAGAGACTCCGAGTTGAAGGGCACCGTCGAGTTGCCCATGATGCCAGAGGTCGCTTCTGACAGTGCTGTCAGTTTTGCTGACTGGCTCTATGAGGTTGAACAAGCAGTCGGTGGTTTGAGTGACCGGGCGGCTGGTTGGTTCAGCATGTGTCTTAAGAATGCGAGGGAGACCTACGAGATCTATCAGATGAGCGATCCTTTGGCGCGCTTGACCCTGGAGCCTTTGCGACCTGCAGAGCTACAGGACGAACGTTGGTCACGCCTGGAGAGGCGTGTTCTAACACTTCTTTTGGCTACACTACAACGACAAGCCAAGGATGACGCTGTTACCCACAGGATCTCGAATGTCTCTGGGCTTTTGTTCAGGCTACACGTCTTGTATGCCCCGGGCAGTGCAGCAGAGCGAGCCTCTATCCTACGACACCTAGAAGGAAGCCCGGGCACAACAAGCGTGGTTGACACAGTGACGGCGCTGAGGCGCTGGAGACGACTTCTTCAACGTGCCGAAGAAATGCATGTGGCCGTTCCGGACCCTTCCGTGCTCCTCAAGGCCATAGAGACAATGGCAGCAAGAGCAATTGATGCCAATCCAGAACTCAAGTTTCGACTTTCACTCTCTAAGTCCCAGCTGCACCTTCAGTACAGGCCAACCCTTGAGAATGTTTTGAGATATTACAATCATGTCTCAGCGGAACTTCAACAGGCTGCTCCGACGAGGCCACCAAGTTCCCAGGCGACTTCTACGACACAAGATGGAGCCAAACTTAAGGGGTTGAATGCCTCGGGTAATGCGGCAGGTACTGGAGAAGCGGGTTCGCCAACGAGGAGGAGTGCAGAAGCTGGAGCATCATCGAAGATTCCTTGTCGTTTCTTTGCGTCGGATAATGGGTGCACCAAGGGCCAGGCCTGCAAGTTTGACCACACTTTCGCCACCAAGGAGGCCAAGAGGAACCGGTGCTGGTTTTGTGGGTCCACAAAACATGTTCAGAAGGAGTGCCCGGTGAAGGCAGGACGTTCTACCTCTCCGGCCAAGGCGAAGACTTCGCCACCGGACCCATCTACGAACTCTTCTTCGACTACAACTCCAACTTTGAACCAGGTGTCGGCGCAGCAACAGCAAGCAATCATGGAGTCTATTCAGGCTGCTATGGGCAATTCCACTTCCACGTCGGTGGGGTCAACTTCGGCTCCGCTACCACAGACAACGACTGGAGGTTCTACAGTGGCTACAGAGACCCCCGCTACACAGTCTTCAACCTCCGGAGCCACAACCTTGGAGAACCCTGGCTCTGATGAGAGGACTCAGGAGATCAGTGCTCTTCTCCAGCAGGCCAATGCTATGTTGAACCGACTCACGCGGCTGCAGGCTTTGCAGGTGACCTCGGAGACCAGCCTCCAAGAGCTCAAGGTCCAAATGGCAGGACTTGGTTTCGCTGAGGAGGAGCGCATGGCATTGCTTGACAGCGGCGCCTCTCATCCTTTTCGAGAACGTGCTCGACACGAAGATGATGGAGTACCTGTTCGAGTGGAATTGGCTGGCGGGAGAACAGTGACGTTGAAGCAAAACAAGGCAGGTACGCTCATGCCGACTGCTGACACCGAGAATGCACAAGACCTTTCAACCATCCTCCCAATGGGAGCATTGGTACAGTCCTTGGGGTGCGAGCTATCATGGACGCGCAAGAATGGGCTCAAGATTGTCCATCCACAGTTCGGAGCCTTGAAGACGGTCGTGAAGGGCAACTGCCCGCTGCTCGGCGAGACGCAAGCGCTCGATTTGATACACCAGTTGGAACAAAAGAAACTCCAAGAACTACGAGAGGCAACGGCGGAGACCTTCTTGGGTACGTTGAGTTTGTCGGAGATCAAGGACTGGAATGAGATGTTCGCAGCTTATGTGCAGACTGGACAGCGAGCACATCTTTCTCAGGCCTTGGAATCTACTGGATGCCCTCTTCAAGGACTTGATGAAACGCTAAGGTCATTGTTGGCTGTTGGTGTGGATTTATCAGAAGAAGCTGGACGTCGCTATCTCAAGGCACTACCCATTCGCAGATCCCAGAGGAAATCTTTGTTGTCAAGGAGGTGGATTGTGAAGCTATATGGGCGTGAAGGCGAGAGCAATGAACCCTACAAGGTCGTGGAGACGGACAAGACGGTGTTTTTCGACATCAACGTCCACCGGAGCAAGGGCTTCTCTATGAAGGGAGCGAGTCCCATGTTTCAGGCGCTTATGTGGGCGGCTGCTCGCGGCCAGATTGAAGGGGTCTTGGGGGCTCCACCTTCGAATGCTTGTGCAGAGCTGGCCACCAAGCAGCTTCTGGTGTGGATGGTTGCAAAGGAAGGTGCTAGACGACATCGGCAAACGGCGCCCTATGTGGTTACCACCCTAGACCCAGAGGCGAAATGGTGGACATCTACTGTTTGGCAAGGTTTCCAGCGGGAGTACCAGATTCCGGTGGCACAAGTATCCCCTACGAACTCAACGGCAACCTACTGCGTGGCTTCCAATCTGGAGCTATGTACCGAGGAGGATGAGAACAACGTTGGCTGGGGCCCGGGAGTTACAGCATCAAGCAAGAACACAATGGGCTGGTCGTTGGATTTCAACAAGATGATAACGCAAGGAATTTTGTCCTGGAGAAGACGACCGGAACCTTTGATGATGTATGCGGCGAAGACCGAAGCTGGAGGCCTTGGGTTGGAAGAGTTACGTAAATGGCGTCGCCACATCGCAAACGGACATCTCCCTTATGATCGTCGTTGCAAAACATGTGTGGAGACAGCGGCTACTGGCCGCAGCCATCGCCGAGTGATTGCCCCAAGTTGTTATACTCTCTCGCTAGACCTGTGTGGACCGTTCAGAACCAAGGGAGAGACAGCAGATGCAAAGGGCTACCGCTACGCTTTGGTTGGTAACTACACAATGCCGATGATTGAAGGATACAAGGACCACAAGATTCCTGAGGACTTCCTTGAGGAGGAGCCTGGTGATGATGGAGGTGGTGTTGGATCTATACCCTTGGGCTCGGATGTTTTGGATGAGGTAGAGGAACCAGATCCCGAGATGAGCGAGAATGACAAAAGGGAACTGGATGAATCCAATGAGGAGTTCAAGAGGATCTTCAAGGAGATTGGGGATGATATCCAGTACCAGAACTTGTACTACATGATCCCGTTGAAAACACGCTTGGCGCCAGAAGTTGAAGCAGCTATTAGGCTACTGTACGTTCAACTAAGAGCCGAAGGACTACCTGTTCAACGAGTGCACAGTGACAGGGCTAGGGAGCTCAGAGGACAAAACATTCGAAGGTGGCTTTTGGAGCGCGACATCTACCCGACGACTGGCGAGGCACAAGTGCCACAGACGAACGGCAGGGCGGAGCAAGCGGTGAAGGCCCTGAAGAGACGAGCGAAAACGCTGCTACAAACTACCAAGCTACCGAGATCATGTTGGCCTTTGGCAATGGGACATGCGGCTTGGGCTCAACGAGAGTGTGCGCTGGGAAGACCTCAAGGGGTTTTGCCCTTTGGAGCTCAGGTGACAATCAAGGCTAAGGTCTTTGGCCAGGGTGGGAAGTTTGACTTGAACAACAAGTGGGATACTGGATGTTTCGTTGGGCCTTCAACAGAGGTTCGGGGAGGCTATGTGGTCAGAGATGTAAATGGTCGCTACCTTACGACTATGCACATGAAGAAGGACGTGGTGAATGTGGAAGAGATTGTCGGACCTATTGAAGCTGAGGCGGTCTTGCCGCTTCCTTCTACAAGGTTGCGAAGGAAGATCACTGTGGTTGAAGACGGCGACGGCGTTCCTCCACCAACAAGAGATTCAGAGCGGGGAAGTACGTCGCTGGGTCCGAATGATCGTGGGGAAGTCGTAGTACCCGAGGAGGATATTGTTCCTCCACCAACGAGAGATTCAGAGCTGGGAAGTACGTCGCTGGGTCCATTAGGGGAAGTCGTAGTACCCAACATGTCAGCGTCACCTGGGTCTGGGTCACAAGAACATGGAGATGCTTCTAGAGCACCAGGTCGTCGTCTACGAGAAAAGTCAAGATTGATGGCTATGAGGTCCCTCACAGATCTAGAACAGGAGATTGAGAACTTGGCTGTGGGCTATGACCTAGATGAGAGATATGATGAAGAAGCAGTACTTCGTATCTTTGAGATGTTGGAACACACTAGGCCAACGGAGTCAAGAGCTGCCGTCAGGAAGTCAATGTCGAACTCAACGGTGTGGACAACAGGAATGTTCACTCATGGTGGAGTCTCTGGGATTCGGAACACTGCGGTGAGACTGCCGTCTACTACTGCTTTCCTGGTGAAGGCGGCTAAGAAGTTGACTGGGACAAAAGAGTTTGCCGTGGTGGCCATCACAAGGGGAGCGCGACTGAGAGTGCACCGAGATTCCCACAATGAGCCCGAATCCGAGAACACGATCTTGGCGCTGACGGATTTCCGTGGTGGTGGTGTTTGGGTAGAGGGCCTTGGCAAGGAATGGCGTGAAGTCCTACCTGGGCGTTGGGTTCAAGGAGGTGTTCAGCCTTTACATCTGGGTTCTCCGATTTCTTTCAGCCCAAGGCGGTGGCATGAAACTCAAGAGTTTGAAGGAGATCGTGTGGTATTTATGACGTACACTCCTCGTACATCCAAGTTGAAGGCTGAGGACAGATGGAGACTCAGTGAACTTGGTTTCGAGATCCCGGAGCGCAGAGATTTGTCCGCCTCGAGCTTGTCAGCTCCTATTCTGAAGAGACAACAGTTGATTCTCGACTGTGATGGTGTTCTCGAGATTTATGATTCCAAGCCTACAGCTGAGGAGGAGGCCGTTGAAGAGGAGAGGCTTGATGGAACTTTGCTTCGCGCCAATGAGTACCAGCAGCAGATGATGGACGAAATGATGGACAGATCTACCTTGCTTCAGGACCTACTTGAAGAGGAAGAAGAAAGGTTACAAGATCTTCAGCACCTTCAGCAGGGATGTTTGGAAACGTCGAAGCAGGCTCATGGAGAACTTCTACATATCGTGGACAACTTGAACGCGAAGATTGAGCGGGAACATCGATTACGGGATGAAGGGTATGACCTCAGATCATTGTCGGTGGAGCAAGACAGCCAGGACTATGAGAAGTTGCTAAGCGAGCTCCAGGAAGACCTACAAGTAACCCACACCGTACCGCTCAATCAGGTGAAACCTGTTGCCGAAAGATGGAAACCAGCTATTGAAAAGGAGATCAAGAACCTCTTCGGCACGAACACCTTAAAACGAATCAAGATGTCAGAAGCTCGAAGGTTGGAAGCACAAGGACGCCTACGGCTGGTACCAAGCAAGGGGGTTTTCACGATCAAACCGCCGGCTGAGAAAGGAGATCGATTCAAAAGAAAATACCGGTTGGTGCTTTGTGGCAATTTCATTGATCCAAGCGAATCCCAAGGTTCATTGTACGCAGGTGGAGTTGGTGCGGAAACGCTACGGGCACTGTTGGCGACTACTACAAGGTGGGGCTGGAGAGGTGCCACTACAGATATTGTAGCAGCTTTTATTCAAGCAGAATGGCCGGATTCATTACCCATGTACGCCGTCATTCCTCCTCGTCTACTACAAGAGCTTGAGTACTCTGAAGATGGAGAAGCATGGCTTGTTTGTCGTCCGCTGTATGGACTGCGGGAAAGCCCATCAATATGGGCGGGACACAGGAACAACCGCTTGAAGGCCCTCAAGATCCCCTATGGCAATGGTTTTATCACACTTCAACAGTCTACTACGGACGCGGAGCTCTGGTATGCTGTGGACCATTGTGGTGAAGAGAAGGCTCGCGGAACCCTTCTAGCCCTCATCATAACGTACGTGGACGATTTATTTTACATGGGCCCGACCAAGGTGGTGCAACAGCTGCACGATTGGGTGAATCGGGAGTGGCCATGTTCGGAGCTACAGTGGGCATCTACGTTGCCAGGAGTTCGGTACTTGGGGATGGAAATCTTTCAACGAGAATCGGGAGAATACGAGGTCACCCAGAATGGATACATCATGGATCTTATCAGGGCCCATGATTTGATCGACGCCCCCCAGACCTTGTTGCCGTGTCCAAGAGAATGGATCGCTGAAGGCATGGATCAAGAAAGCGAGGACTTCAATGAGTCTGATCTCAAATTTGCACAGCGCTTGGTTGGGGAACAACTTTGGTTAGCCATGCGGTGTCGCCCAGATATCCATTTCACGGTGTCCCATATGGCCTCTTGGGTCGCACGACAACCACGTCGCGTTGCCAAGGTTGCTCTACGAGTACTTTCATATTTGCACAAGACAGCCGAGATGACCCTGATCTTGGGACAGCCTGCGGAGGTTACGGATGCCAAGGTGCAGCGAAGCAACGACAACACCAACACCAGCCGCAACAGCAGCAGCAGCAAGGCACACAACAACACCACAGAAGCCAAGCAAGCAAGCACGGGTTTTAGTGAAATCAAGGTAGTTGGTTTTTCTGACGCCAGCTTTGCTCCATATGGCGGTAAGTCCTACGGTGCTTCTGTGATAACTGTGGAAGATTCACCTGTGAGCTGGAGATGCGGCAAGCAAACATTTGTTATGTTGTCCATCATGGAATCGGAACTCTATCAAGCGACGGAAGCAGCAGTTCTCCTGGAAAATACGGCCGTTCTTTTGGATGAACTACTTCAGACAAGGGTTCGCAGGACTCTGTGCGTGGACAATACGGCTGCAACAGCCATGATTCAGGGAGGACCTGGAAGCTGGCGTACGAGGCACCTAAAGGTTCGTTCCTCGTACTTGATACAGAGGGTGCAGGACCAGGAGTTGCATGTAGAGCATGTGGATGGGATCAAGCAGCGTGCAGACCTGTCTACAAAGTGTCACTCGAAGGCGAGGTTGTACACGCTGTTGAAGCTGTGGCGGTTTGAGAGGCTGCCTTCGGAAGCAGAGGCCTTTCTTGTCGCTAGGATGACGGCGATTGTGTGCATGATCAAGATGTTGGAGTCGCTTCCCAAGGTGACAGCAGTGACGTCGGATGAAGCCAAGGAGGCTGTGAAAATTGCTGGCGTGGACGAGCTGGTTTTTGTAACAGTGTTGGCTTGCGCCACGGCTATTCTTGTCTGGGAGATTACGAAGGCGGCTGGAAAACAGCTGTGGGCCTGTCTGTGTCGACCTGCTAAGGGGAGGAAGGCACGGAAGCTGAGAGACTTAGCTAAGGCTGCAGCGGAGGTTGAGGTGGACCGGGCGTTCAATTCAGAACCGGATGTTCCGGTAAGAAGGCCTACTTTGGGCGCCGTGTCGAGCACAGCGTGGGTCCCTTCATCTCTGGATGTCCAACAGCGGTCGATCGCTATTCAGACTGAAGACTGGACACGTGCATCAGCACCTGTGGCGGTAACCCCGCCGAGACAGGTAAGGACGGCTTTTCAAGATGATGAGATGTATGTGCATTTCGATGGTCCTTTCTTCAAGTCTGAGTATGGTGACACGGTACATGTGAACCCGAACTGCCAAGGCTTCCGCTTGGCATCGCATAGAATCAATCAACACCGATTGTGCAATTTCTGTAGTCGACAAGAACCTCTTTACCAACGACGCGCTCAGGACGGATCTGCAAGGCGACCTCTCCGTTTTGAGAATACGAGGTAAGGCAGTGCAGATGAGATCGTCACGACTTTCAGCTGTGAACGCGCAATTGATCTGCATGCAGCAAACTGTGGAGCAGTTTAGCAGCACCAGAACGATTAGTTCATACGATCCCATGCAGTGTGACTTCCATTGAAAGAATGGTCGTCAAGGAGGAGTGTGAGATCCTCTGCATGTGAGCCTTGCTATATGTGTTCGATGCCTTTTGAAGTTATGCCTGTAGGCAAACAAGCATCGCAGCTTAGGTTGGCAAGTGTAAAGAGCTGTCAACAATAGCACAGTACTGTTCAGTTGCTCCGTGAAAAGTGTCAGCCTCCTCTCGCGGTTCATGGCCTTCCGATAAAATTGGAACGATACTGAGAAGATTATTCGAACCAATCAGGAGCCGCTTTTCAGGCTTGCCCGTTATCTTCACAATACTATCTTAGGGGGGTTCTTTTTTACATAGTTATAATATATAATATACCCAAAACCCTATTCTAATCATTAAGGCTTCTTAAGGCCCCTAAAAAATGAGGGTTCCCTCAACATAAAGCAAGCCCCAAACCCTACAAGGCCCAGGCCCTCATACCTACAAAAGCCTTGAACCCTAGAAATCCTGATACTCTTAAGCCATAACCTCCAGGTAAACCCAGCACCCAAAACCCTAAATCCTAGATCTGAAAAACTAAGCCTTAAATCCTAGATCTTAAAGCCTAAGCCGTAAATCCTAGATTAAAGCGATAAATCCTAAATCTTAAAACCTAAAGCCCTACATCCTAGATCTTAAAACCTAGATCCTAAATCGCAGTTTGGTTGGGGTTTAGGGGTTCAGGGGTTTAGGGTTTTAGGGTTTAGGGGTTTAGGGTTTAGGGTTTTTTGGGGTTTAGGGATTTAGGGTTTATGAGTTGGGAGTCGGAGTTCTGGGGATTTAGGCGGTTAGTGCTTAGGGCTTCAAGGTTTACTTCTGGGGTTACAGGGTTTAGGTTGAGGGCTGTAGGTTTTTTGGGGTTGGTGTCGGCCTTTAGGGTTTTAATCGTAGGGTGTGGGTTTTGGGTTTAGGGCTTGGGGTGAAGACTTTGGGTCAGACCAGTGTTCAAGATAGCACACTTGGGTTGGTAAGTTTTACGGGTCTGCGCCCCAGACCCCAGAACTAAGCCCCTAAGCCCGTAAGTCAGGCTCAGGGCCGGAGTGTTGGGGCTGAGGGCTTTAGTATTTAGGGTTTAGGGTTTAGGGTGTTTAGGGTTTAGGGTTTAGGGTTTCTTTTGTGCGCTGATGGCTTTCTCGATGGTGCTGACGAAGGGAGACGGCCCTGTTGCCGGTTTCCATGTGGGTCGTTCTCTAAAGTAGGGTCCCATTTAGGGTCCTTTTTACAAGGGTGCCGTACTGTATTGGGGGACCTAAAAAAGGACGCTAATTCAGAGCACCCATGTGGATTACAATCTCTGAAACCACAGTGAAGCAAGAAAACCTTGAGACCCCATGCCAAAAACTCGCCTGAATCCTGAAACCCCCCAAAGCCTTAAAGCCTTAAGCCGCCCCTAAAGCCCTAAGCTAAAGCCCCCGCGGTGACCTAAACCGAGGTGCTGACCCCGACTACCTGCTTGCCTCGTGCACGGCTGCCGGCATTATCATCGAGCTTTGGCCCTGATTCTTAGGGGCTGAGTAGGTAACCTTTAACCTTTTGGGGCTTATATACACCTATTTATACTTCAACTGGTTAACCTTTTTTGGGCTAAGGTACTCGGCCTCTAAGGATTTCAGCTTGCCGGGATTCGCTCGCTCTGCACCTAAAATTGAACTACGTACCCAAAACCCACTTTTCCGTGGGGGGGTCCCAAAACAGAAGGTCATGGTAGCTTAACGTAGTGTCTTAGGGGTTAGAGCTTTTTATACGGTCAAAGTTTAGGCTTTGGAATGTGAGGGCTGAGGGTAAACCCCAAAAAGGCCTAAGCCCTAAACCCTAAAACCGTAAAACCCTAGAACCCCTAAAGCCCTAAACCCTAAAGCCCTAAAACCCCTAAACCCCTAAAACCCTAAACCCCTAAAACCCCTAAAACCCTGAAATCCGTGGTTCAGGCTTTCGAGTCCCCAGGTCGAGCTCTGATCTCCATTGAAAGAAACCTCAATTGTCCTCGTCACCAGCGATCCAAACTTCTCTCAACGGGGGTTTAGGGTTTAGGGGTTCAGCGTTTTGGGTTTTACGGTTTAGGGTTTAGGGTTTCTTCTCTCAAGCGGCTAGATACACCTACTCATCTATATGGGAGCCTTCATAGTTGCCTATACTATTACTTTTGTGTTTGTTTGTTTTCTTTTTTTTGGGGGGGGGGGGAGGGGGGGTCCATGTGATAAATGTAGTTTAGGGTTTAGGGTTTAGGGTTAAATATAGCCCAAGACCTTGTTCTAATCATGAAGGCCCCTACATTATTCGCATCAGGGATCTATCGATGGCCTAATTGTTTCCATTTCGGGGACCATAGAAACAGCGCTGAGAAACTTGATCAATTGCATACTCGTTGTGCGGAGCCCTATGATCATCCTACGACGTTTCTTTATGCTTGAAGGGACATCGCCGAAGATGAAGAAGCCCCAGTGTCTCAGCGTCTCAAAACCTTCGACACCCCTAAACCCTAAACTCGTAACCCCTAAAC